CAGGGCGAAATCAGTAGTCACATCCACGTCGTTGAGGGAGAGCTGGGCAGCAACAAGGCCGATTAGGGCAGAGAGCAAGAGATATCCGCGCATTCTTGCACACAAGTTTGCACTGGAAGACCAGCCAATACAGAGCGCCTCTTGCCTACAGCTCAATACCAAACATTCTGACAGCATAAGCTGCTTATCGTTCAACAATTCCAAGCCTAGTATTTGGGTGCACACGAAGTAGCCGACGCGGACACTCCGGTTGGAAAAATACACTCGCATACTGAGCTAAGATCAGCACGAGATCCTTCTTGGATGTTGTCCCTAGTTGCCTTACTGTAGCTCGACTCAACGCAAGACATCCATAGTATACCATGGCACTGTCTCGCACGGCCGTTAGCCTACCACTGAGGCAACCGCCTGCCCGTCCTCGCGAGAGGTCTTCAACAACAGTAGTCATGATGGGATATTAATTCTACTCGACATTGTCATTTTACATCATCAAAGGCTGCATTATTTGACGGTACGGGGGTAGCTGCTCGGCCAGCACGCTCATGCGACTTGGGATTTGCGTCGACACTGTCATCGGCCCACGCGAAACTGTGGTATAGATCGTACGTACAGGGTGACAGTCCCCATTGGGGGTGTAGGTGTGTATCGACTTGGGACTCTGCTGAGCCATATTAGAGAGCCCAGCAGTTGAATACACCTTGTGGTTTTCCTGAGCATAGACATTCGAAATGCCGCGCGGGTCGTGAATGTAATTCGAAGACGCTGATGCCTGAACACAATAAGGAAGACCATCAGAGCTAACCATAGTCAGTATGCCTACCCGAGGGAAAGCTTCATAATAAACCGGCGATGAATGACCGGTGGAAGGCTTCGTAGTGTATACCGGCGTAACGCTAGACACAGCCGAGACTTTCCTCGTGGGGAGGGCGCTCACTGAACGGCTCTTCATCATCGAACTCGAGAGAGGCCGAGGAGGGCTCGTATACCGTACCGTCTGAGCATAGGGTATTCAACCCAGCCAGGGCAGATCATACTCACCTCCGCTCTGGGAAAACTCTCCGCAGAGTTCAACGTCCGAATCGGTAGCATCTGGCGATATCGACTCAGCGACTGCGGCGAGAGCAACAGCTCATCTCGGAAGTTGCTTTGCGGGGTCAAAGGCCTCGGCGCCCCCACGGTTCCTCTTATCGGGATCACCGGTGCCCGGCCAACCTGCTGCGGCGTTCCAGAGGCCGCCATAGGAGTCCGTGCACCGTAGGGCGGGCTTGTCCACATAGCCGGTGAGGTAAACGCTACCGCTGCCGATGGGCCTTAGGGTAGAACACGATAAGACCAGTCAGAGCCAGCGGAGATCTACCTTGGGTACGATACTCCTGCTGAGGCGTCAGGATAACAGGCGTAGAGGCTAGTGAGAAGGCCTGCAGCGGCGTCAGTGGCTGGGAGGTCGCCACCTTCGCCGTCGGGCTCTTCGTGACTCCCACAGCGGAAAAGGACCGACGCAGTGTGCCGGCCGGGCTCTCTGCCTTCGAGAACGGAGTAAGGGAGGTTGACACTGACTTCTTCACAGAAGGCTCCTGAGTAAAGTCACAGTAGTTGGGCACCACAGCATCACTTACCTCTTCCAGGTGGCCTTCATGTCGCGCCACTGTTGGGTGCACCGGCGGCTTGCTACTGCTGCTGCTGTGCCACGGTACAGTCTTGAGAGAGGCAGTGGCGTGTTGAGCCGGTGCGAGCTGCATCGGGGGGACTGCCGGCAGGGTAGGCTCTTCACTCCAGTCAATGTCCTAAGAGACACTGTCGGCCTCACTGTACTGTGCAAGCCCCACATCTGTTGATACGTCCTCCTCCTCCTCCTCTCGCGACCTTCGACTAGTTGCCGCCTTAGAGGCGGTCACAGGCCTCCGTCTGTGGAACGCCTTCCACCACGACTCGGCAAACCTACACTGGGAGAGCTCCTGCCCGAGCGACACTGGCCGGCCCCTCTTACCGAGCCCATTGCTGATTATCGGCCTTAGCCCCTTCACCCCATGCTCTAGAGGCCGCGGACCCTCCTGGACCCAGGCACATTAGCAGAACGCTGCCCATGACCCCGTACTGTACGGACTGCAGATACGGCCTGAGTAGTGACCGCCGGTGCCCCCACGGGCCGTAGCGGGGTCTTCCTCCTCTCACTTCAAGATCAAAGTAAGCATGCTTTGCCGGAAGGCTGGAGATTGTGACTCTACCCCATCAGGACTGCTCCTCCGCTTCCCCTCTTGAGCCATCGACTGGATCACATTTTTCAACGCGTCTTGGGACTTCCTGTTCAATCGAGTCGTCGAGGTGCGGCAGTTGGGCACATACACAGCCAAATCTACGAAGGTTATCTGAGCTCAAGCTGTACCCAGCATAGGCTCCCCGTCTGGTACCTTATAGTAGCCATTAACGAGGATCTCGAATACGGCATGGCCCCGACTAGCCTCTGTATTCTGCGGCATTTTCTCAAAGTGGCGATTGCTATCGCCAGTGAAAAGGGCCTGGTAGGCTGCCGACTCGTCGTCCACCAGCATTCTAGTGAGATCCTCACTGTGGGAAATCTTGACCCTCGGGGAAAGAAGATCGACGACCTCTTCCTTGTATATTTCATAGAAGGATATTTCAACTCGCATCGAGCTCGACTTGTGATCAAACAGAAAGGTTAATGTTCGAGGGATCAAGCCCCGATCGGAGAACTTAGTAGCGCCACCAGTGACGCAGAAGGTTTTGCCGGCACCAGAAGGGCCAGCGGCCAGAACGAGGAGTCCCTTGTTATCACTGTCGGGCGTCTCGGCTAGGAGGTCCTTCAGGAACGGCTGAGGGAAGGACACTACTGCACGGACACCCTCGGGTGAGTTCACCTTGCAGATCATCTCGAATAGCTCGTTCTGTGGCTTGCTTCCTTTGATAACAGAGTCAAAGATAACGTCCCC